AATGTGTTGATGGGGAACAAGTGTTTTTCTTTCCTGCAACCTGAGGTGAAAATCGCCCACAGGAAAGAAAATTGTATCATCTATGGCCTGCCTTAATCATTTGGTTGGATTTTGTTTTTGACTGTGAATATTACTCCTGCGAGGGAACCTCTTGTTTTGGGTTGTGTTTTTCTGCAACGCTGACCAATAAACAAGGGCAAGTAGCCCTTAAACTCATTTGACACTTACCTCTCTGCAAGCTCCTCTTGAAACTGAACCCCACACTATCCTACTGAAAAAAAATAGCCAAGGTTTGCCATTTCTCAAAAGAGAGTCAATCAGTTCCAGAGGCATTCTGCCATATTTTGTAAACGTGTGCAGCCAGACTACTATCTTAAAACTTAGCAATGTTCTGCTTTTAAAAAACTACAGTCTTCTTAAAAGGATAGACATAATTTAAAAAAGAAATGCAGGACAGTATATGATATTGTGAAAATACTGTGCCTATGCCTGTCCCTCCCATTACATCAAATTATCTTCAGCACAGTTGAAAAGTAAGATTTTTGATTCTTTACATTTTTTTTTCAAACTCATTCATGAACATACACTGAGGAATGGCAAAGCAAAAAGGTATCAGCAAAAGAGAGAGAAAGAGCATGGCTCAAGAAAAAGAAACATAATATTGCCCCTATGCAAAGTATTAGTAAAACCCCATCTAGAATACAGTAATACCTCGGTTCATGAATTTAATTAATTCTACGACTCTGGTCACGAACCGAATTGGTCATGAACCAAGACAAATTTTCCCATAGGGTTTCAATGTAAATCAGGTTAACCCTGTCCTGACCACTACAAAGATGATTGCAAACCAAATTTGGTGGCCAACCGAATCAAATTTTCTCATAAGGTTCAATGTAAACAAGGTTAATCCGTTCTGGACTTTTTTTTTGTATTTGAACCACAAAAATATGAGACAAAGTACAGTACAGTATGAAGAGAGAGAACACTAACCTTGCTTGAGACCACTTCTGGCGTGGAGGACAGGAAGGCAGGTGGGAGGCAGTTATTGTTCAGAGGGAGAGTCCCCTTCCATAAGGACATTGGGGAGATCTCCTTCAGGGGTTTCCTCTCTTCTTTGTTTATTATCTGCAGGTTCAGTTTTGCTTAAAAATCTGTCCAATGTCACTTGTCTTTTCCTGCGTTGCATAACCCTCCGGAAATGAGAGACCACGTTATCGTTCATCAGATTCAACACTGTGTTTGTTACAGTTATGTTGGGGTGGTGCTTCTCAAAAACATCATGGCACTCATTCCATTTTTCCATAATGGATTTTATGGCATCACTGCTAACCTCCTCCCTGTCTTCCTCTTCCTCAGTGGATTGCTCCTCAATAAGCACCTTCTGCTGCTCACTGTGGAGTTCAGAAAGTTCTTCCGTGGTCAGCTCCTCCTTATGTTCCTCAACAAGTTCCACTATGTCTGCACCATCGATGTCCAGACCCATACTCTTGCCCATGAATACAATCTCCTCCACTACCTCTGAATCAGACCCTTCAAAGTTACGTTCAGTGACACATTCTGGCCACAAGGTCCGATACGTGACATCTTCTGTGCTTTGTCAATGAGTTGATGCAGTTAAGAACATTGAAATATTTCTTCCTGAATTCTTTCAGACTCAAGGACGTCTCTTCAGTGACAATAAAACACCTAGTGAAGAGTGCCTTTGTGTACAACTTCTTGAAGTTGCAGATCACTTGCTGGTCCATGTGCGGCAAAAGAGGTGTCGTGTTGGGGGTAGGAACTTGACCTTTATGAAGTCATACTCAGCGTCCATATCATCCACCAAGACTGGAGGGTGTGCCGGGGCATTGTCTATCAGAAGAAGGCACCTTTCAGGCAGTTGGGTGTCAGAAAGATATTTTCTTACAGTGGTTGCGAACACCTTATGCAGCCATTCCATGCACAATTGCCTTGTGACCCAAGCTTTCGCATTGGCCCTCCACATGACAGGCAGTCTGGCTTTGTTCACATTCTGTTACTGGAATGCACGAGGGGTTTAGCAATGGTACACCAGCAGTGGCTTAATCTTCAGATCAGCGCTTGGGTTCGCACACAGCAAAAGGGTAAATCTATCCTTCATGGGCTTGTGCCTTTTCCTCCTGCATGATATAGGTTCTGTTTGGCATCTTTTTTTAGAGAGCCCTGTCTCATCAAAGTTGAAAACTTGAGCAACGTATTCTTCTGCCTTCATGAATACCGCAAATTCTTTCTTGTAGGCTTCTGCAGCAGCCTTGTTAGAACTGGAAGCCTCACCATGTCTTGTCACACTGTGGATGCCACCTCTCTTGTGGAATTTTTCAAACCACTCTCTACTGGCTTTAAATTCTTCATTTGCTGCACTTGTAGAGGGTTTTTTATTGCAGTAAATCACTGTACAATTTCCTGGCTTTTTCACAGATCATAGCTTAACCTGTATGGTGTTTTTCATTAAACCACACTAACAAAAGTTTTTCCACCTCTTACAACACTTGCGTCCTCTGCTTGGTTAACATCGTTACTCCCTTTGCCACATCAGCTCCTTTGATGGCAGCTTTCTTCTTCAAAATAGTCGAGATTTGTCGACTTCGCCATCTTGTACTCCGAGGCCAGATCAGTCAACGCTCTGCACATTCTTGTCACCTTCATTACTGCTCTGCACGTTCTGGTCACTTTCATTACCACTCTGCACTTTCTTTTTAAAAACATGCTTCCTCTGCACATTCTTGTCACCTTCATTACCGCTCCACACTTTCTTCTTACCACCCTGCTTGCTCTGAATTTTCTTTGGAGCCATACTGGATGTCCGATACAGTATGTGCTAAAAAACCACACAAAAAAGCTTTACATCAAGTGTGCACAAGGATTTACAGTACAGTACTGTACAGTATATGCTAAAAAGCACACCAAAAATCTTCTCAGTACTGTAAGTGTCTTCACAGTACACTTTCAGTGTCTGTCTGTGACCGCAATCTCGCCTACAGGAAGTCACGATCACGTGTCAGAACAGTAAAGATGGCCGTGTGTCAGGAATGGACTAGCCAGCAATGGTGGGACTCACCTGCCTTTTGATCTGCAGTACCAGGGCTGGCCAGCGGTGCTCCCAGCAATCAGAGACTCAACTTTGCAGCCAGCTAACACCTGCAACTGATTATGCTGGGGTATTTAAGGGATGGCCAGACTTGCAGACTCTGCCTTGGTGTCGTGTTTGTCCTGGGCCCTGTATCTGTCCTGCATCCTGTTTCTGTTCCTTTGCTACCTGTTCTGATCCCTGGCTTGTGACCCTGACCATCCCTCTGCCTGACCCTCTGTACTACGCTGCTTGCTACCTGTTCTGATCCCTGGCTTGTGACCCTGACCATCCCTCTGCCTGACCCTCTGTACTACGCTGCTTGCTACCTGCTGAACCTGGCCTGTGACCCCGACCATTCTCCGCTTGCTCCCCCTGTACCTACCTGCCCAATTGATATTGACTCGGCCTGCCTGACGACGCTTGCTTGTATGTATGTACTGTTATCTGTGGGTGGTTGGTTGGGTTTGTTTGCACTGTATTATGTTTAGTATTGCACTGCGTTTATGTTTGTATTGTTAGTGTTAATAAATTATATTGTTTATCACATATCTGAGGTCTGCGTTTCCCTGCGCGTCAGTCACACACCTCTGGTCATACCTGGGAGCCCTGACATTACACACCAAGGCCAATCCTGACCAGAAGTGGCTGCACAGGGAAGCCATCTTGGCTTGTTGATGGGAAGGATGGATCTGGATGAGTTTGCGTATTTATATCTGCTAGTGTTTGATGACAGGGAGTATGCTTATCAGACTCTGAAGGAGTATACCCGGGATGAACTGCTAGAATGTATACGGCTCGCTCATGTTCTAGTAGATCAGGGCACAGAGTTCTCTGAGGTGCAGCCTTTGATTGAGGTTTGTGCAGAGTTGGTTTCATCTGGTTCCCCCGAATGCAGGGATGAATTTTGCCACCATTTAGTGCCGACCAGGTAGAGTCCCTGGTGTGGTTATTAGAGGATGATGTGGGTTACTTTCTGGAGCGTTATTCCACATGTTCACCACAGACACTAAGAGATTGTATAAACGCAGTGCAGTCATTGGCCAGACAGGCTTTGTGTAAGCTCAGCTTTGTTCAACCCATACTGCAGACATGGACAGACTTGTTTGCACCCAGCCTCAGTCAGCTTACAAAGACCCAGTCCTGCTTCTAACTCTACTCCTGTATTCCCACCAGCTCCTCCAGTTACAGCCCAGTATACTTGGCTATCTACCGCATGTCAGTACCCTGTTCCCACTCGCTGCACCTATCCTGCCTTTAACCCTGTAAAAAAGCCCTCTGTAGCAACTGCTCCCTCTCCTGTTCCATCCTCCAGTTCTTCTCTGTCTCCAGCTGCTCCATTCGTTTGCAGACCTGCGTTTACTTGCAGTGCTCCAGTAGTTAAAACCAGAAAAAAGCGAAAATTCTTTCCAACCAATACCATCCTGCCAGTATCCAAACCGGTGAGCCTGCCTTCCGTGGTTCAGCCTGAAGCCTCTACTCGGCCTGAAGCCTCTACTCAGCCTGAAGCCTCTACTCAGCCTGATGCCTGTACTCGGCCTGATGCCTGTACGCAGCCTGATGCCTCTCTTCAGCCTGATGCCGGTACGCAGCCTGATGCCTCTCTTCAGCCTGATGCCTGTATGCAGCCTGATGCCTCTCTTCGGCCTGAAGCCTCTACTCGGCCTGAAGCCTCTACTCGGCCTGATGCCTCTACTCGGCCTGAAGCCTCTACTCGGCCTGATGCCTCTACTCGGCCTGAAGCCTCTACTCGGCCTGAAGCCTCTACTCAGCCTGATGCCTCTACTCGGCCTGATGCCTCTACTCGGCCTGATGCCTCTACTCGGCCTGAAGCCTCTACTCAGCCGGACGCCGGCATTCAGCCTGATGCCTCTACCCATCATGATGAACTGATCCAGCCTGACGATCCTATTAGGCCAGTTGACTCGATGCCCGCTGTTGATCCAGATGATCCGGTACCTGATCCAGTGCCCGCTGTCGTGCCAATTGACTCAGAGCCCGCTGTCATACCTGGTGACCCGGTGCCCACTGCCTTGCCAGATGACGCGGTGCCCGCTGGCAAGCCAAAAAAACCTGATGCCTGGTGACCCAGTGCCCGCTGTCATACCTGGTGACCCGATGCCCGCTGTCGAGCCAGACAATCCGATACCTGATGACCCGGTGCCCACTGTCGTGCCTGTTGACTCGGAGCCCACTGTCTTGCCAGAAGACTCGGTGCCCGCTGTTCCGCCAGTTGACTCGGTGCCCGCAGTCTTGCCAGACGACTCGGTGCCCGCAGTCTTGCCAGACGACGACTCGGTGCCCGCAGTCTTGCCAGTTGACTCGGTGCCCGCAGTCCCGCCAGTTGACTCGATGCCCGCTGTTCCGCCAGTTGACTCGATGCCCCCCGCTGTTCCGCCAGTTCGACTCGGTGCCCGCAGTCTTGCCAGACGACTCGGTGCCCGCAGTCTTGCCAGACGACTCGGTGCCCGCAGTCTTGCCAGACTACTCGGTGCCCGCAGTCTTGCCAGACGACTCGATGCCCGCAGTCTTGCCAGACGACTCGGTGCCCGCAGTCTTGCCAGACGACTCGATGCCCGCTGTTCCGCCAGTTGACTCGGTGCCCGCAGTCTTGCCAGACGACTCGGTGCCCACTGTCGTGCCTGGTGACTCGGTGCCCGCCGCTTCGTCTGGGGGCCCGAGACCTGTCGCTCCACCTGGGGGTCCGGCGCCCGCCGCTCCGCCTGGGGGCCCGAGACCTGTCGCTCCGCCTGGGGGCCCGAGACCTGTCGCTCCACCTGGGGGTCCGGCGCCCGCCGCTCCGCGCTGAGGGCCCGTGGACCTTCACCCGAGGGTACCTGTCGCTCCACCTGGGGGTCTGGCGCCCGCCGCTCCGCCTGAGGGCCCGAGACCTGTCGCTCCCATCTGGGGGTCCGGCGCCCGCCGCTCCGCCTGGGGGCCCGAGACCTGTCGCTCCATATCTGGGGGTCCGGCGCCCGGCGCCGCCGCTCCGCCTGAGGGCCCGAGACCTGTCGCTCCGCCTGGGGGCCCGAGACCTGCCTCACTCCATCTGGGGGTCCGGCGCCCCGCCGCTCCGCCTGAGGGGCCCGAGACACTGTCGCTCCGCCTGGGGGCCCGATGCCTGTCTGCCCCTCCTGGGGCCCGATGCCTGTCGCCCCTGCCTGCTCGAACCCTGGGGGCCCGATGCCTGTCGCCCCGCCTGGGGGCCCGATGCCTGTCGCCCCTCCTGGGGGCCAGATGCCTGTCGCCCCTCCTGGGGGCCCGATGCCTGTCCGCCCCACCTGGGGCCCGAGGCCTGTCGCCCCGCCCGGGGGCCCGGTGCCTGCTGCTCCTGCTCCGCCCGGGGGGCCCGGTGCCTGCTGCTCCGCCCGGGGGGCCCGGTGCCTGCTGCTCCGCCCGGGGGCCCGGTGCCTGCTGCTCCTTCCGCCCGGGGGGCCCGGTGCCTGCTGCCCCGCCCGGGGGACCCGGTTGCCTGCTGCTCCGCCCGTGGGCCCGCTGCCTGCTGCTTCGCCTGGTAATCCGATGTGCCTTCTGCCCGGAGTCCTGCCCGATGTGCCTCTGCCCGGAGTCCTGCCCGATGTGCCTCTGCCCGGAGTCCAGCCCGATGTGCCTCTGCCCGGAGTCCAGCCCGATGTGCCTCTGCCCGGAGTCCAGCCCGATGTGCCTCTGCCCGGAGTCCTGCCCGATGTGCCTCTGCCCGGTGTGCCTTTGCCCAATGTGCCTCTGCCCGGTGTGCCCCTGCCCGAGTCCTGCCCGGTGTGCCGCTGCCCGGGAGTCCTTGCCCGGTGTGCCAGTCTTTGATATCCCGCCAGTTACCAGACCCGGGCGGTGGAACATTTTGCCCAGCTAGGACTGTTTGGAGCGTCCTGAGGGCTGCTCCTTGAGGGGGGGGTACTGTCAGGAATGGACTAGCCAGCAATGGTGGGACTCACCTGCCTTTTGATCTGCAGTACCAGGGCTGGCCAGCGGGTGCTCCCAGCAATCAGAGACTCAACTTTGCAGCCAGCTAACACCTGGAACTGATTATGCTGGGGGGTATTTAAGGGATGGCCAGACTTGCAGACTCTGCCTTGGTGTTGTGTTTGTCCTGGGCCCTGTATCTGTCCTGCATCCTGTTTCTGTTCCTTTTGCTACCTGTTCTGATCCCTGGCTTGTGACCCTGACCATCCCTCTGCCTGACCCTCTGTACTACGCTGCTTGCTACCTGTTCTGATCCCTGGCTTTGTGACCCTGACCATCCCTCTGCCTGACCCTCTGTACTACGCTGCTTGCTACCTGCTGAACCTGGCCTGTGACCCCGACCATTCTCCGCTTGCTCCCCTGTACCTACCTGCCCAATTGATATTGACTCGGCTGTCTGCCTGACGACGCTTGCTTGTATGTACTGTTATCTGTGGGTGTTTGGTTGGGTTTGTTTGCACTGTATTATGTTTTAGTATTGCACTGCGTTTATGTTTGTATTGTTAGTGTTTAATAAATTATATTGTTTATCACATATCTGAGGTCTGCGTTTCCCTGCGTCAGTCACACACCTCTGGTCTGGTCATACCTGGGAGCCCTGACACCGTGGCTCATGTTCATCAACAGAAGCGGATTTCGCAAACCGATGCAAATTTTTGCAAACTCTTCTGTTCGAGAACCAAGTTGTTTGTGAACAGAAGCATTTGTGAACTGAGGTATCACTGTACTCAATTTAGTTGGGTACACCAGTTTACAAAAAGGATGATATAGAACTGGAAAATTTTCAGAGAATGGAAACGAAATTAATAAGGGATATAGGTTGTATGGGGAAACCAAATGAAGATTCATTGAATTAAATGTATATGCACTTGAGAAAAAAAACAATTCTAAACATGGAAAGGGTTTTATTTACTGGACTGCACTAGAAGGGGTTTAGTAGGGGTTTTCTGATTACTTTGTCGATCGGGAAAGACTTTTGACCCTATTAAAGCACACTGAATTATGCACTGTAAGCATGTTTATCTTTCCTCTACATCAACTAGGGGTAAAATGTTCTGAGGATACAATTGTTTTTTTATATACAGTATTGTACATATTTCTTAAAAAAGTAATATATACAGTACATGCATCTTTTTTTTTCTTTTGCTACTTACTTTGTGTTGCAGAAATAGGTTAAAATACCCTGTGGCACATGGTGCATGACCACTGCTGAATGAAGCACTGGTCCAGGGAGCATATTGGACCGTGTGTTGAAATGTGGTCCCAACTCTCTAGCATGCTGCTAGCACACAGTATTATAATTTTGAAGTATAAACATATTTATTACTGTATATGCAGCCAGCATTTAAAGTGGTATAAAGCTTCAATTTGTAAGTCACGTTCATCTGAATCTGCTAGTCTAACACTCCCCACCCTTCTGTAAAGAAAAAAAGAAAAAGTAATGCTGCCACCATATATGAGGATTGGTAAGCTGCAATATATAAAATGTTTGTTTTTGGGTTTAATACTACTTTAAATATGCATGCTATTTAAACACTACAATAATGTTTCATAAAGTAGTAAATAGGGATGAGCTCAACTTGTCCGAACTTGCCAATGGCCAATGGTGCTGGTGCATTCATCCAAATGCCAGACATTTTGCTTGTTCAGCTAAAGTTGAATGTCATACTGTATGTCGTAGCAGTATTTCTTGATGAAGGACTTGGTAAAACTGTGCAAGTTTCCTTATTTACTGTTTAATTTTTTGTGTGGATGAGTAGGTGTACTGTGTACCTCTTACTTATTCACATAAAGGGGGAGGTAGGGCCTTTCAGATTCTAATAAGCCCCCTCCAGCAGACCTCCTCAACCAAGGGGGTTGTGAGGAACTGGCCCACTTATGTTGAAGGCATGTGGCCTGGTATGGTTTAAGAGGGGGTTTAGCATGCTTCCCCCCCCCCTTTGTTTCTTGGCCTGCCAGGCTGCATTCTCAGGTAAGAACCTAGTATACAATTTTTGGGGGAAACATCATATCATGTTTCCTTGTTATTTTGTATGGAGTTCCCTTTAAAGTTCATACCAGTCCTCATGGATCTGGCATGGAATCTGTGGTGGCCTCTATGCCATTTCCTTTTTCTTTTGCATAAGAATGGCCTATTCTGACATTTCAGCCATACATGCGAATATCTGCATTTTTTGCTAAAAAATTATTTAGAACCCCCAAACATTATATGTTTGTTTAGGCAGAGGCTCTAGAGAATAAAATGGTAAGTGTTGCAATTTTTTTATGTCACACGGTATTTGGTAATTTTTTATCACTTTTATCCTTGTGATAGCATGAGCAGTGACAGGTACTCTTCAACGAGACATCTGAGGTCTATTAGACCACATATCTTTCCTCTTTCCTTAAAAGCATCTAATCAAAGCAAGTTCAGTTTTATCAGATGCTTTCACAAGCCAATAAACAGTTTGTTTACATCTGAGCAAAACCAAAAGTGACAAAATCCTCGTTGCTTCTGGTTTCTTAGATCATAGAGATGATCAGGGAACTTCCAGTCATTGGTCATCTCTATGGTAAGCCAGTGAAAGGCAGGGGGGAAGTGAAAGTGATGCATCTGTTCAGATCACTTTTACATTGCAAACCATTGATTGCTAAAAAAAAAATTAAAAATAAAATAAAAATACTGGGGTCATGATTTGCAGCTGCAGCCTTGGCCCCAGTATAATCACTTCAACCCAAGGACATAAGCAACCTAACCTTGTCCTGTCTTGTTTAATCCTGTTATTGGGACCTTTGATGAAATATGTTTAATTTTTTAGAGTTTTGAGATAGAGAAAGAAACTAAGAACACTCAATCTCCTCCTATGCAACCGCAACTGCACTAAATGAGAGAACAGGAAATGCTCTGTACAGCGACTTCTTGTTCATTTACAAACTGAAAGGCATACATCCTGCAGCACACAGCGTGAGGGAGGGACACAGGGCATAGTGTGGGCATTGGGCCAGTGGTAGTAGTGACAGAATCACATTTTTAATGAATAGCTTGTCAGCTTCTAATTACAGCTATTCCTTTTATTCAACTGCATTTGGGGCACCAGTCTATAAAGGCTCGTTCACACTTGGCTTTATTTCTAACTCTTGCCAAACGCCCCTATAGCGTTTGACAGGTGTTTGACAGGGGTTTGGGAAGCGTTTTTAACGCTCCTCAAGCGCTCCCCAAACGCTCCCCAAATGCCCCATGCGCGGTTTTGAGGAGGTTGATAGGTGTTTGCCAATCGTTAAAACCGTACCACAAACACCTATGAGGAAGTTAAATAGTATTAAAGCTCCACAACCACCTCACAACCACGTCGCAACTGCACTGCGAACACCTGGCAGGTGTTTGCAGAGCCGCACCATAATCTTGAATGGGAGGCTTCAACTCCTCCTGACTCGACACGAGGCATCACTTTTGCTGCCCCATGCGCGGTTTTGATG